TTTTTTTTTTTTTTTTTGAGACAAGGCCTTGCTCTATCATCTAGGCTGGAGTGCAGTCGTGCCATCTCAGCTCACTGCAGCCTCGACTTTCCTGGCTCAGGTGGTCCTCCCTCCTCAGCCTCCCCTGAGTAGCTGGGACTACAGGCCTGTGCTATCATGCCTGGATAATTTTTTTTTTGTATTTTTAGTAGAGACTGGGTGTAGCCATGTTGCCCAGGCTAGCCTCAAACCCCTGGACTCAAGTGATCTGCCCACCTCAGCCTCCCAAAGATCTGTACTTATAGGTATGAGCCACTGTGCCCAGCCCCTTTCACCCTCTTTTAAAAATTTATTGTTTACTCCAATTTGGGTGATAGAGTGAGACCCTGTCTCCCAAAATACATATTTTTAAAATTGATACATAATGATTATTTTATATTTACATGTATGGGGTACAGTGTGATATTTTGATACATGTATAGAATGTGTAATGATCAAATCAGGGTAATTAGCATATTCGTCACCTCAAACACTGCTTGCGTTTATATGCTAGTTATATGTAATATGTTGATATTCTGTAGATGGTGATAGGAAGTTTTAGCAGCTACTTTCAAACCTCTCAAATTTCTCAGTAAGTTAATTCCTAGAAAGTCATAATAATCAGCCTTGTTATTTTCACTTTGATAAGTTTAAATACTGTAAATGTAACCATTTTTTTTCTACCATCAGCCCACACTATATCTTCTTCTTTTTTTTTGAGATGGGGTTTCACCATGTTGGTCAGACTGTCTCGAACTCCTGACCTCAGGTAATCCACCTGCCTTGGCCTCCCAAAGTGCTGGAATTACAGGCATGAGCCACCGTGCCCAGCCCACACTGTGTGTTATTATCAATTGTCAATTATATCTAAATTACAAAATCTTAGTCATCTTAAATTTCCCTATGCTATTCTATATCTTTTATATTACAGGATCTCTTGGGTTCTTTGTTTTTTTTTTGTTTTTTTTTTGGGTTTTTTTTTTTTTTTTTTTTGTGACAGAGTCTTGCTCTGTCATCCAGGCTAGAGGGTGGAGGGTAGTGGTATGATCTCTGCTCACTGCAACCTCTTGTCTCCTGGGTTCAGGCGATTCTTGTGCCTTAGCCTCCCAAGTAGCTGGGATTATAGGCTGGTGCCACCACGCCTGGCCAATTTTTGTATTTTTAGTAGAGACGTGTTTTGTCTGTTGCCCAGGCTGGTCTCGAACTCCTAGATTCAAGTGATTTGCATGCCTCGGCATCCCAAAGTGCTGGGATTATATGCATGAGCCACCGTGTCCAGCAGTTTCTTTATTTAAAATGCAATTTAGAAACAAAAAACAAAACAAAACAAAAAAGCAATTTAGAACAGGCTGGGTGGCCTAATAATTCCTGTGCAGTGTGATGTGGTGGAACTGTCCTGGATTTAGAGTAAGAAAGCCTGGAGTCAGATACTGAGATTGTCCTACTAACATTGTATCCTTGGGGAAACTTTGAGCGTCAGTTTCCTTCCTCTCATTTTAGATAAGATTTTTGTTTCTTCTCACCTCTTAATTATTGTAATAACTACCACTGACATAATACGTGGAGAAGCTAAAAGTTAAAAAAAAAAACAAACAAAACCCAGGCCGCGATCGGTGACTCACGCCTGTAATCTCAGCACTATGGGAGGCCGAGGCCGGTGGATCATGAGATCAAGAGATCAAGACCATCCTGGCCAACATGGTGAAACCCTGTCTCTACTAGAAGTACAAAAATTAGCTGGGCATGGTTGTGAGCGCCTGTAATCCCAGCAACTCAGGGGGCTGAGGCAGGAGAATTGCTTGAACCCAGGAGGCAGAGGTTGCAGTGAGCTGAGATGGTGCCGCTGCACTCCAGCCTGACAACAGAGTGAGACTCTGTCTCAAAAAAAACCAAAAAAAACAAAACCAACCTAAGCTATTGTTATTTCTCTTTGTTCTCATTCATTTCACAAACATTGGAAACCTAACATATGTTATATACTGGTGCTATAGCTACGAAAGATAGAGCCCTTAAAGGGCTGTCTTTCAAGGAGCTTTCAAACTATGTGTGTGTATGCTAGGAGTAGGGTGGTAGGGTATCTGATAAGGTAGACTATACTGAAGAATGTAAAACTAATAAGCTTAGGGTAAGCAACAAACCCAGATGAATTTGGGACCATATTTCCATAATTCCAGAAGAGGTACATGGAAAGGTTCCTGGAGGAAGTTATATTTGAACAAAGTCTTGAATTATAGCAAGGATCTTGAAGGGCTTTGTGTGCTACAGGAAGTGTACACATTGAAGAATTTTAAGCAGTTAGACTGATCACAGCTGCTTTTTGAAAGTTCATATTGGCTGTGATGTGTCCTTTGTTAACTTTCTGTCTTTGTGCTTTATTATTATTTTTTTACTCCATCAAGAAGGGCTTATATTCTCTCCTCATACCTTAATATTAACTGTTTATCTTTCAGTTTCTAGTGTAGGTCCATTTCTTGTGTGAAACATTATCCAATTATTTTAGCCCCCTACTTATTAGTTCTCTAAAACCATATTAGAAAAATTGATAGTAACACACTTTAATCCTTATTTGTTTTATGTTTGTTTTATGTCCGTAAGTAGGTTTTAAGTATAGAGAATGTTTCTTATGTATGAATAGAAGGCATGTTAAAAAAATTTGTTGCTTGATCTCTTTGTATTTTGTTTTTCAGTGTAGTAACAGATTATGGGCAATAGTCCTTTTAATTAATCTATCATCATCATGGCCAATGAGGGCTATCCCAAGGCTACCGATAGTCCTTTTTCATCAGATAAACATGCCCAACTCATCTTGGCCCAAATCAATAAGATGAGAAGTGGACAGCATTTCTGTGATGTGCAGCTGCAAGTTGGAAAGGAAACTTTTAAAGCTCATCGGCTGGTTTTGGCTGCCAGCAGTCCTTACTTTGCAGCTTTGTTCACTGGAGGAATGAAAGAGTCTTCAAAAGATGTTGTACCGATTCTAGGAATCGAAGCTTCAATCTTTCACATACTTCTAGATTTCATTTACACAGGTATGTTACATGAGCCTGTTGCTTTTAGTGAAGAATGATTCAATCACTCATGCTCTAATGGGGGAATATAAATTGATGTAACTTATCAAGAAGGTAACTTAGCAACATGTTATTATGAAGCTGAAAATTTAATATCTTTTGACCTGGTGCTCCTTTTCTAGGAATCTGAAGGAATTAATGATGCAGGCAAATATTTACATACCAGGATTTTATTGTAACATTATTATTATTATTATTTGAGACAGAGTCTTGTTCTGCCATCCAGGCTGGAGGGCAGTGGCATGATCTTGGCTCACTGCAACCTTGCCTCCTGGGTTCAAGCAATTCTCCTGCCTCAGCCGCTTGAGTAGCTGGGATTACAGGTGTGCACTAACACGCCCAGCTAATTTTTGTATTTCTTTTTAGTAGAGACAGCGTTTCACCACGTTGACCATGATGATCTTGATCTTCTGACCTCGTGATCCGCCTGCCTCAGCCCCCAAAGTGCTGAGATTACAGATATGAGCCACTATGCCTGGCCTGTAACATTATTTATAGTAGTATATAATTGAATAAAATCTTGTCTCTCAGCAGGTTACATGGGTAAATAAATTATGATAATGTATAGATCTCACAAATGAGATCTAACAAATATTAAAATATATGTACAGTATTATGGAAGAATGTTTACAATATATAAAAAAATTGTTTTTTTCAAAGAGCATTTCTAGGAAGCTCCAATTCCTAACACAAGCCTTTAACAATAACAACTGCTTGCAGTATTTTTTTCCTTGTCTTGCACTAGTAGAAATATTTGGCTTTGTTTCTTTCTTTCTTTATTTTTTTTGAGATGGAGTTTCGCTCTTCTTGCCCAGGCTCGAGTGCAATAGCACAATCTTGGCTCACTGAAACATCCGCCTCCCAGGTTCAAGCAATTCTCCTGCCTCAGCCTCCCAAGTAGCTGGTATTACAGGCACCTACCACCACACCTGGCTAGTTTTGTATTTTTAGTAGGGTTTCTTCATGTTGGTCAGGCTGATCTCGAACTCCCAACCTCAGGTGATCCACCCACCTCGGCCTCCAAAAGTGCTGGGATTACAGGCGTGAGCCACCACACCCGGCACAATATATAAAATTTTAAGAATCAGCATATAAATAAACCCCTATTTTGTTTTAAACAAAACCCAAAAAACATGTGTATTTGCACATGAGAAAGAGACCATGACCAGAATATTTAATAGTGTTTATCTGTAGGTAGTTTTTTTCCACAAAGTGCTTATAATCAGCATATGTTATTTTACTCAAACTACTTCTTAAATGTTTTTGAAGAGTTTTAATAACATTAGAGAATGTACCCAAGGGCATAGTGGTTCATGCCTGTAATCCCAGCAGTTCAGGGGGCCAGTGGGAGAGGATTACTTGAGGCCAGAAGTTTGAGACTAGGCAGGACAACATAGCAAGACCCCATTTCTACAAAAAAAATTTTTTTTGTGAGACAGGGTCTCTCTCTGTTGTCCAGGCTGGAGTGCAGTGGTACACACACAGCTCAATGCAGCTGTGATCTCCTAGGTTCAAGCAGTGTTACCATCTCACCCTCCTGCATAGCTGTGACTATAGTTACATGTCACCATGCCTGACTAATGTAAAAAAATTTTTTTTGTAGAGACAGGGTCTCACCATATTGCCCGGGCTATAAAAAATTTTTTTAATTAGCTGGGTGTGGTGGCTTGTGTCTGTAGTCTCTGATAATTTGAGACTGATGTGGGAGGATCCATCACTTGGGCCCAGGAGTTTGAGGCTGTAGTAAACTGTGATAAAGCTGCCACACCCTGGCCTGGGAGACAGCGTGAGACCCCATCTCTAAGAAAATAAAGTAAAACAACAGGGATGGTTAGGAGGGGAGTAGGGATGGGGGAAAGAAAGAGAAGTCACACCAAAACGATGTATAGTCTTACATGATATGCAACAAATATGCATAGAAGAAAGATTTGAGAGGCTAAGGTGGAAGGATCACTTGAGCCCAGGATGTTGAGGCATCAGTGAATGATGATTATGCTACTGTACTCCAGCCTAGGCAACAGAACAAAACTCTGTCTGAAAAAAAAAAGAAAAAAGAAAAAAAATTTTTGAGGGAAGACACTACAGTGTTAATACAATGTATGTCTGTATTGCTTCTCGGCCTTTTGGCTAAGATCAAGTGTAATGTGTGTCTGTGTATGGAAAAATATGTTTTTCTTTTCTTTTTTTAAAATTTTTATTAAAGATGGGGTTTCACCATGATGGCCAGGCTGGTCTTGGACTCCTGACCTCAGGTGATCCACGCACTTCGGCCTCCCAAAGTGCTAGGATTACAGGCGTGAGCCACTGCACCCGGCCTCATTTTCATGTTTATATTTTTCTGTCTTAAAGTTCTTTTTCCACAGTGAATATATATTACTCTTCTTCTTCCTTTTTTTTTTTTTTGTGATGGAGTTTCTCTCTGTTGCCCAGGCTGTAATACAGTGGGGCAATCTTGGCTCACTGCAACCTCTGCCTCCCAGGTTCAAGCGATTCTCCTGCCTCAACCTCCCGAGTAGCTGGGAATACAGGCATGCACTAACACATCCAGCTAATTTTTTTTTTTTTTTTTTTTTTAGTAGAGATGGGGTTTCACCATGTTGGCCAGGCTGGTCTCAAACTCCTGACCTCAAGTAATCTGCTCACCTCAGCCTCTCAAGTGCTGGGATTACAGGTGTGAGCCACCGTGCCTAGCCTCTTTTGTTTTTATTTTTATTTTTTGAGACAGAGTGTTGCTTTGTTGCCCACGCTGAAATGCAGGGGAAAGATCGTTGCAGCCTTGATCTTCAGGGCTCAAGCTATCCTCCCACCTCAGCCTCCTGAGTACCTGTGGGACCACAACACACAACACCATGCCTAGCTAATTTCTAAATTTTTTTTTGTAGAGATGAGGTCTGACTATCTTGTCCAGAGTGGTCTCAAACTCTGGGCTCAAGCGATCCTCCCACCTCAGACTCCTGAGTAGCTAGGACTACAGGTGCACATACCACCTAATTTTTTGTTGTTGTTGTTGAGATGGAGCCTTGCTCTGTAGCCAAGGCTAGAGTGCAGTGGTGTGATCTTGGCTCACTGCAGCCTCCACCTCCTGGGTTACAGCGATTCTCCTTCCTCAGCCTCTTGAGTAGCTGGGATTACAGGCACCTGGTACCACACCTGGTTAATTTTTATATTTTTAGTAGAAATGGGATTTTGCCATGTTGGCCAGGCTGGTCTTGAACTCCTGACCTCAGGTTACCCACCTGCCTTGGCCTCCTAAGGTGATGGGATTACAGGCATGAGCCTTCATACCCGGCCACACCTGGCTAATTTTTAAATTTTTTGTAGAGACGGGGTTTTGCTGTATTGCCGAGGCTGCTCTCAAACTCCTGGACTCAAGTGATCTACCCACCTTGGCCTCTCAAAGTACTAGGATTACAGGCATGAGCCACCATGGCCACCTGTTGCTTTATTTTATTTTATTATTTTTATTTTTATTATTTGTTTTTCAGACAGAGTCCCACTCTGTTGCTTAGACTGGAGTGTACTGGCATGATCTCAGCTCACAACTACCTCCGCCTCCCAGGTTCAAGCGATTCCCCTACCTCAGCCTCTCAAATAGCTTGGATTATAGGTGCCTGCCACCATCCCTGGCTAATTTTTGTATTTTTTTTTTTTTTTGAGACAGAGTTTCGCTCTTGTTACCCAGGCTGGAGTGCAATGGCGCGATCTCGGCTCACCGCAACCTCCGCGTCCTGGGTTCAGGCAATTCTCCTGCCTCAGCCTCCTGAGTAGCTGGGATTACAGGCACGTGCCACCATGCCCAGCTGATTTTTTGTAGTCTCAGTAGGGTTTCACCATGTTGACCAGGATGGTCTCGATCTCTTGACCTCGTGATCCACCCGCCTCGGCCTCCCAAAGTACTGGGATTACAGGCGTGAGCCACCGCGCCCGGCCCAATTTTTGTATTTTTAATAGAGACTGGGTTTCACCATGTTGGCCAGGCTGATCTCAAACTCCTAACCTCAAGTGGTCTGACCACCTCGGCCTCCCAAAGTGCTGGGAGCACAGGTGTGAGTCAGCACACCTGGCCTGTTGCTTTTTTTAAATGCATGGTATTTAAACTTGGAAAATGACAAAAGGCGATTTCTCTGTTATTTCCTATTTCTTTTTTGAACATTTCAGAAAACAATGATAACCTTAATTTGGGGACTGTAACAATGATTATCTTTTACCTGCTAAAAGAAATGAAGCTCTGCCGGGCACGGTGGCTCAAGCCTGTAATCCCAGCACTTTGGGAGGCCGAGGCAGGTGCATCACGAGGTCAAGAGATCGAGACCATCCTGGTCAACATGGTGAAACCTCGTCTCTACTAAAAATACAAAACATTAGCTGGGCATGGTGGCGCGTGCCTGTAATCCCAGCTACTCAGGAGGTTGAGGCAGGAGAATTCCCTGAACCCAGGAGGCGGAGGTTGCGGTGAGCCGAGATCGTGCCATTGCACTCCAGCCTGGGTAACAAGAGTGAAACTCTGTCTCAAAAAAAGAAAAAAAACAAATGAAGCTCTGTCTATTGGCTTAGGTAGAAACTAACATTGGGGGATTCTTGACCTCACTATTCAAAATGACTTGTGTGAGCTTATTAAACTACTTGCTAAATGCTCCCTGTTTCTTTTACTTGAAAAAATATACATTAATACAGATTAATCCATGGAATTTGTGTTGAGCTACCATAGAAACAGAAGGAATGCCACAAGTTGTTTATTCTGCCTCTGTTATCTGATAGTAGCAAATGAGATATTTAGTAAACAAGAACACTCATAGCATCCTTACCACATTTCTGAATACTGGCACTTCCATTAAAGAAATAAAATGTGAGCCAGGTGTGGTGGCTTACCCTGTAATCCCAGCACTTTGGGAGGCCGAAGCGGGTGGATCACGAGGTCAGGAGGTTGAGACCAGCCTGACCAACATGATGAAACCCCGTCTTTACTAAAAATACAAAAATTAGCCAGGCATGGTGGTGAGTGCCTGGAATCCCAGCTACTCGGAAGCTGAAGCAGAAGAATCGCTTGAACCCAGGAGGCAGAGGTTGCAGTGAACCAAGATTGTACCACTGCACTCTGGCCTGAGTGCATGCCATTATGCCTGGCTAATTTTTTTATATTTTTAGTAGAGACAGGGTTTCGCCATGTTGGTCACACTGGTCATGAACTCCTTACCTCAGACAATCCACATGCCTCAGCTTCCCAGAGTGCTGGGATTACAGGCGTAAGCCACTGTGCCCTGCCTATTTATTTATTTATTTATTTGAGATAGGGTCTCACCCTGTCACCTAGGCTGGAATACAGTGGCATGATTATGGCTCACTGTGGACTCAACCTCTGAGGCTCAAATGACCTCCCACCTCAGCCTCCCAAAGTAGCTGGGACCACAGCCTCATGCCACTATGCCCAACTACTTTTTTTTTGAGACAGTTTTGCTGTGTTGCCCAGGCTGGATTGTACCACAGTGGTGGTACAATCCTGCCTCATTGCACCCTTTGCCTCCCATGTTCAAGTGATTTTCATGCGTCAGTCTCCCAAGTGGCTGGTATTACAGGCATGTGCTACCATGCTGGCTAATTTTTGTATTTTTAGTAGAGACAGAGTTTTACCATGTTAGCCAGGCTGGTCTCGAACTCCTGGCCTCAAGTGATCTGCTCACCTTGGCCTCCGAAGTGCTGGGATTACAGGCATAAGCCACTGCACCTGTCCAATTTATTATTATTATTTGTAGAGACAAGG